ATTGTAACCTCAAAGAATATTTTCCAGGTTTTTCATGATGAGTGTTTTTGAAATATATTTATTAGCAGTCCTGTTTTTTCTTCTGTAAAATGCCTGTTCATGACTTTTTGTCCAATTTTTGAAACTGGATGATTTGCTTATTGATGAGTAGAGGTTCTTTGTGTGTTGTGGACCCTGATCCTTTGTTTAGTTATGTATTCCAGATCGCTTCTGCCAGTGTGGGACTTGGGTCTTTAAGTCTTTGGTTATCCAGGTAAAGTTTTAAGGCAGAGATTTAATATCGTTGATTTCATTCTTTTTCTTTATGCTTCAGGCATTTTATGTTTATGTTTATTTAAATATGTATTTCTACTCCCATGTATACAAAGATTTTTTTCCTAAATATGCTTCTTTAAAAAAAAAACAATTTTTATTTATATTTATTTTATGTTGAATTTATTCCTGTGCCACAAATTTTTTTTCTTTAGTGGCTTCTGGGATATCTTTTCTCCTGTGTGACCTCTTCTTCTGGAACAAATTGTTCCTGGTCATTGTTCCTAGTCAGTGAGGACCCTCTCGCTGTGGCAGGGGAGCGCAAGTGTGGGTTAGTCTGACCACAAGCTCTGTAAGTGTGGTGGCACGCCCCCAGTGCTTTGTTCTCCGGGATGTGTTCAGTGACCAGAGAGTCTACATTGAGACCCTGGAGTTCAGCTTTACTCTCTGCATTTTAAATTGAGATACCTCAATTAAAAATTATACCTCAATTAAAAATTATACCTCAATTTAAAATTTCTCCTCAGTCAGGAGAAATCTTAGTAGTCTGGGAACACTAAGAGTTCACTTGAATATAAAGTAAAATTATTAAGGGTACAAATTCCTGGATTTAAATTCTGGTTCTTCCATTCACTAGGAGAATGCCTTGGGCAGGCAAGTTAACCCCTACAAGCCTCTATTTCCCCAAATGCAAACAGGATTCCACTAGTGCATACTTTATCAGGTCGCTGTGGGGATAAAATAAACTAGTAAATATGAAGAACCTGGAGCAATCAGAGGCCGACATGGTGAGCGCAGAATGAGGCCAGCTGCTAGTCGTGTTATCAGTGCCATTAGCACCACTATTTTGGTGGGCATTTACTTTGGTGCAGCCACATAGGGAAGCACATGCAGTACTGGTGTGTGAGATTAAGATGTTCTGCCGCCACACCCCCTAGAGAAACCCTTATTTCAACAGGAATGTTTGATAGAAGCACCATTTGTGGCAATGAAATAATGAAAATAACACTTATGTCTATTTAGAGGGGAATAAACAAATAGATTATTGTAAGTTAATATAATTTGGACACTGAGTATCCCCAGAAGCTCATGTGTTAAAGGCTTGGTCCCCAAGGTGGTGCTACTAGGAGTGGGTAGGACTTGGAAGTGGAGCCTAGTGGGAGATCAGTGGGGCATGTCACTAAAGGGGACTGTGGGACCCTGGTCTCTCTTCCTCTTCTTCTGAGGCTTAGCTATGAGCTTAGCTGTTGCATTACCATGTGCTCCCTGGGAATGCCACCCAGTGTGCCCTCAGAGGCCCAGAGCAAAGGGTCTGTCCAATCATGGACTGGAACATCCAAAACTGTGAGCCAAAATAAACTTATTCTAAGTTAATTATCTCAGGTGTTTTGTTACAGTGATGAATGCTGACTATCACAAACACAGAGCACAGAAATTAATAGACCAAAGCTACATGTATCAACAGAGACCAGTCTCACCAGCACAGTGCCCGACAGTCAGGCAACCCACAGAAGAATGAAGACAGACAGGGATCAAACACGCAGAGCTGAAATCATGAAATGCTAAACAAAACATTGTTCACACTTTTACTGCATATGAAAATGTCCTAATTACAATGGCAGTTACTGTTAGTGCACAAGGAAAGGGTATTTCATCATAGAGGCACCATACATTACCAAGAGCATTAGCAACACTGGCTTTTTTATATCGAGGGTGTGTAACGGGTTTTCATACTATTATTCTTTAGCTTTTATATAGATGCAATACATATCATTTTGTATACAAAAATTTTGTAGTTAAGAATTTGTATGAATGCACAAATATCCAGCAGTAACTTTGTCAAACCACTTGAAAAATATCTGCGGGAATATCCATCCTGTTGGTCTCAGAATATACCATGAACAAGTGCAGAGAGAAATGCAAACACAGGTAACATCTCAGAACGCTCTGTGAGTGAGTGCTGAGCTGACCTCTAAGAACCACGCAGCTCAGGAAGACAGGACAGAGAGAAGCAGGACTAACCCTGTGAGACGTTCCCATGCCTACGGGCAGGCAGAGAGAAACTGACAAAGGAGCCTGCAAAGCCACCAGCCCCTCCCACTGTCCCCCTTAACTGCTGCTGAGAATGATTCCTCACCTCCCTTTCTCTAATTCCTGTTGACTTCTCCCCCTCTGCCTCCAATCACAGCCTCAGCCTCCTCCAGTCTACTCTCCCCCACACAACAACCCCCAGAGCTCCCTGTGAGCTACCCTTCTGTTACACTGTCACCTCCTTACTGAAGTCTCTGCCTTGGCTTCCCCTTGGCCTGTGGATAAGGCAGAGCCCAAACTGTGGAATTAAGAAGGCCTTGGGCTGGGGTTGTGGCTCGGCAGTAGAGCACTCGCCCAGCACATGTGAGGCCCATACCACATAAAAATAAATAAACAAACAAACAAATAAAGGTATCATATCTACTACAACTAAAAAATATTTTTTTTAAAAAAGAAGGCCTTGTGTGACCTGGCTCCTCCTTAAGTCATCAGCTCATGCCTCCCACTTTATTCTGATTGCAAAGGTTGAAAGCAGTGGTTCTCAAACTGTGGTCCCCAGACCAGCAGCACCTAGAGGCTTATTAGAATGCAGAGTTAGCTCACACCACCTACTAACTCAGAGTGAATGCTATGGGTGGGTCCAACATCTGAGTTTCAGTGAGTCTTCAAGTTGATTCTGTAGCACATCAAAGCTTGAGCTTACTAGTTTACAGCATGAATGCAAGGTAAATTATTATTTGAACTCCAGTAGGAAAAATCAAAAACTGCTACAGCATAATGATGAAATGCACATACTCTGGGGTCACCTGCCAGGGGTAAATTTCTGCTCAGCTTCTGCCTAGCTGTGTGTCTATAGGGAAGTTACTTAGTTCACCCTAGCAAGGACCCCACAGAAAGACTGCTGGGGTTTAAATCCTGACTCCATCTCTCACTAGCTGTGTGACCTTGAACAAGTTACTTAGTTTCTCTGATGCTCAGTGGCCTCGTTGATAAAAATATAAACAACAGTATCTACTTCATACAGTCGTGAAGACTAAAGGAGTTAACTTACTTACGTTGCTTGTATCTGACACACAGTAAGCATTATGCTTTATTTATGATTACTATGGCTACGTTAATTTTGCAGGAGCCACGTTATATTTTGGAAAGTCAGAACTGAATGCTAAGATCCACAGAAAGTAGACAAAATTCCCTCCCGTATGGAAAATCTTTCCTCACCTTTTTTTAAGGTAAGTGACATTTTTCTAATACGCCATCTACTTCTCTGCCCAAGTTTATTTCCTTCCAATTAGAGTGCACTGACTGGATGTAATGACCTCTTCCAAGAGCCAACGGATCTGCCTTCAAGGGGCCATTCATCTCAGGTGTGGTCATGCTCTCCACAGCAAAGGACTGACAAGACTGGAGAGAGATTGGCTGAGCATCATCAGGAGATATTTCTGGTGATTATTCTGAACACACATCCGGCCGTCTATCCTCCATGTGAAAGGGCCATGGAGTCGAGGGTCTGCCAAGTCCAGGTGGGGAGCGCTAGGAGCAACAGGGGACACATCTCGCGGAAAAGACTCTGCCTCTTTCCTCTCACCACCAACAGGTCCCCCTGTGTGCCAAAACACACGACCGCTGGAACCAGAACATTCGCTGCAGAAAACATTCTGCTGAACCCCAAAAAGTACAACAAACCATATTTTTGAAGACACAATAATAAATGGATTGAAGTGACGTGAAATTATGTAGCGATATTTCTTTCAAGTGTCTGAAAGAGTTTCATCTCATGATTTACATTTACACGGAGTTGGAAAATGAAATAAGACAGGGAGTTAGAATATGGAAGAAAGTATGAGAGAAAACGTTACACAGGGACAAGTCATCAAAACTCAAGTCAGAGTCTAGGGAGGGCTCAGTAGCGAGAGTTGAAGGTTTCTTAAAACCACAGAGAGAATACGCCAACTGAGTCTGGCTGGGAAATCAGTTCAGTCATCATATATTACTGTGAATTGAATCCTCTGCCTGCAGTCTTTACTGGAGGTAGATATGAATCAGTTTTTACCTCTAACGCTCTTCATTTCTCTAAGTTTTAAACATTAGTTTTCTCTGTAAAATCAAGTTAAAGAATCAGCATTCAGCGCTATGGGATTTGTGATTTTTATTCACATGATAACCACATTTTCCATGTGTTTGGGGGGATTTGGGCAGAATCTCTTTCCATAGTTTCCCACTTTAAAACAGAGGTCACCGATTACAAAGAGCATTCTTTCAACTCTAAGTTTCAAGGCATCTCCTCAATGCAAAACATTTTATATCTGGGGGGAAAGAAAGGTTAGAAAGTCATGTGCTATAGGATGTCAACCTATACAGCTCATTTTTCTTTTAATCTTACACTGTAAAATTCCAATGGATAGATAAGGAAGATAATGATGCATGTCAGCCACATTTTACAACTAAAAACCCACAACAGCAAAGAAAACTGCTGATTCTTTATTTAACAAAATATAACACACTAACCTTCTGAGATCGCCTGAAAAAAATATTAATTTCTCAGATTAAGATATAACTACAGAGCCTCTAAAATTAAAAAAAAATGTTTTCAAGCATATAAAGTGTAAGATGAATACAATACAGCTTTCCTCGCTATGTCTGTGAGCACTAGCCACACGGGTACCGACAAGGATCTTGAATGTGAGGAAGGCTTCTGAGCAAATCGTCAGAACACTCACCTGCACAGTCCTCTGAGTGCCATCAACGTTGACAGACAATAAGGGCGAAGCCAAGTTCCACGTACTGGTCACATTTAGTTTCGAGCCATCAACTTCCACCTGTTGTGACACCAAATAAGACTGTTATATGAAGAAAGACAGAAAACTGATCTCAAGTTCACTGCTGCATACAAAGCAGAAGCCATTTTAAACAGATGGCTCCCCAACAACCTGTCATGTTTACTGCTCCAGCCATGAAAGACAGGGTCCAACCACACAGTCTTCCGAGCAATCTCTGGGGAGAGGTGAAGGACCTACGAACAGCTGCCTCTGGTACTGAGGCTTCAAGCAATTTCCAGTAGGTAACAAACAGCCATCTAACTCGAAACCTATCTGGACACGCCACATTTACTGCAATTAGACAAGTAATGCATATAAATTCCAGTGACATTCTGCAACCCACGCAACAGGGCTTGCATATAATATCCTCTCCAAGGACCAGGAAGAACTTTTTCTGTGGTAATTTTAATGAAGGACTACACATTGTTATCTTAATTAAACAGACTTTAATTAGGCAAAATTCTTTGGAGTTGAATATCCAAAGATCATTCAAACTTTGCAAAGTTCTATCATACTTTTATCAATCATAAATGACTAGTTTTATCAAGTCTTCATTCATGACAATGCAAAGAAAGAAAAAGACTCGTAATCTTGCAAAGCAGAGACACTCTTAAGAGAAAAAAATTAATTTCCAAATAAATAGCATAAAAGCAATTGTAAAGAAACAAATAAAAGCTAACTTAAAATAACAAATACTAAAAGGTTTTTCTTTCCACTCACCGATGACTATTTCCTAACTCATTAGTATGAGAGGCAAAAAAACAAATAGCATTATTATTTTAAGTCTACCGTAGACAACAAAGGGATATTTAATGTTTGCTCAAGTTTCAAAATAAACCTGGAGCAGACCCAAGATATATGATCCCTAAAAACTACCTCCCATTTCTTCTCTTAAAAACCAGATATGAGAGTCCTCACTGTTTCCTGTTGGACCCTTGGGAACAGGTAGAGGATGGCAGGGAAGAAGACTAGGGAAAACATTTTCGCCAGTATCAGGAACCCTACCAACTTCCGAGCTTGAGGACACAGTCTAGGGGAGGCTGAGGCTTCCGGGAGCCCAGCACTCAGTATCACAGCGCTGCTGAGACATGTGGGGGCGACGGCACAGCCCTGACGGAGGAGGAAGTAGCTGGACTGTGCACCTGAGTATGTCAGACCCGGAATTCAGAAGTTTCTAGGCCTTAGTGAGAAGACACTGAAGGTCTGGGTCAGGACGAAGTCCACAAGGTAGAGGTGACTCCATGACTGCAGGCCAAGAGCAGCGACTAAGGGCAGCAAAGGCCCCTTCAATGCCTTCAGGCCCAAACAGCCCAAGGAGCACGTGCCTCACTACAACAGGCTCTCTGCAGGACTTAAGAACAGTGCTGAGTCGAGCTGTCCTCCCCACTGTCCTCATCACGAGGCCACCCTACCATTTCCAAAAGCCCCCTCACATGCTCCCAGGCCCACACTGACAGAAGCCGGGGACGAGCAAGAGGCCTGCCTGAAACATCATGTTACCTGAAAGACGGTGTTTAAACACGGAGGCCAGGTCTGTCTGTATATGAGTTTTCTTCCCCTTCCCCTATAACAGTAGAGGACGTGTAAGAAAGGCTGCAGGAGATGGAAATATTCAGAAACCACATTTCCTAGTACACCTAATAATTAGTGAGTGAAACTGTAATTTCACTATATAACTGAAATAATCCCCAATCATAAACTATGAAACACATCTGTGAGAATTTAACAAGGAAAGGAAATGTGCTAAGAGCTGCCAGGTGCCTCGTCAGGCCTCCAGCTACTGGGAATCAGATCCCCAAGACACATAAATCCAACCAAGAGATACAAAGATTGCACAGGTGCTATTACTAAATGGGTGACCTAGGATAAGGCAGAGCGCAGGCAGAGACCACCTGCTTGAACCACAGTCAGACAGCATGGGAAGGTGGGTGCAGACTGAAGGAGACAATGCTGATTCCTGAGCCGTCCCTCCTGTTCACATCCAGCCCTCTAGGCCAGGGTGACGGAAGAGAGCAGGTGGAGGTAAAGGTGGCATGTCATTACGGTCGCCCTGAAATGCTCCTTAAAGAACACCACCCGACTTCCCAATGCCAACTACTAGTGGGAAATGAGTAAGTAGTGCTGGTGAGGGGTGACAAGGGTGACGTGCCCGGCTGTCCCAGCTCTCAGCCAGCCTCCGCCACCACAACACAAACCCTAATCAGAAAACAACCAACACTGGGTCTCAGAGTACAATTTTGGGGGAAAAATTATGAGGAAAAAAAGGTAAATTAAAAAGCATATAACACAAGAAGAGTTGCTCAAAGAAACACAGGAAGAGATCAGATAAATAACTCTCCAAAGTCTCAAAGGCAACCATAGGAAATGTGACCCCTCTTTAAAACAAGGGGGAAAAAAAGCTCAAGAAGAAAAACAAAGGTTCAAAGAAGAGATTATACAACAACAGAAGGAAATGAAAATCAAGCTGGTAGAACTCAGAAAAAAAAAACGAAGAGAAAAATAACATTATAGAGATAAAAGCCACATTAAGAAGCAACCAAAAATAGAATGTGACTAAAAAGACGTACAAGACATTGAAAAATTATATAAGACAAAAATCGAAAGGACCAACATTATAAAGGCAACTTATAGCAAAGACAATAGATGCACAGGAAGAGGACAGGGGACACAGAGAAAATACAACCGTCTCCTTCAAAAAAGTACTTAAAGAATAAATGTAAAAGTCAAAAATATGATAAGACTTCCAAAATAAATAAAACCCTGAATTTATAGACTGATGACATTTGTGGATTTTAGGACTAAAGAAAAAATTATATATTTAGGCAGAAATAAGAAATCACAAGAAAGTAAAAACAAATCGGGTCAGCCTAATTACCCCAGAGCAACTGATACAGAAAACTATGGAGAATGTGGTCTAAACACCGACAAGAGGAAATGATGTCCCATCATTTTATACCCAGCCAAGGTTTCCTTAAACTGTATGATATAAATAGACATTCTGTGGCATGTAAGAACGCAGAGGACCTTTTCTTTAAAAATAAGGCATCTCTATAGGTACTGATGCAAAACTATCCCCAAGATAAATACAGAATAATATATGCAATATACCGTCATTTGTTAAGGAAAAAAATAGCAATGTATATGTGGTGATTTTTGTCTGCTTGTTGTTGTTTGGCTGGTTATAGTTGGTTTTGGTACTGGGACTTGAACCCAGGGCACTTTACCACTACTCTAAATCTCCAGTCATTTTAATATTTTAATTTTGAGACAGGGTCTTGCTAAGTTACTCAGGCTGGCCTTGAATTTGTGATTGTCTTGTCTCAGTCTCCCTAGTCATTGGGATTATAGGAGTACCCAGCAGCTCATTTGTGTGTATGTGTGTTTTTTAATACATAGAAAATCCCTGAACAAATGAGTAAGCAAAACAGAGTGGCTGAGGAAGAGAGATGGAAGAGAGGCTTGCTTTTCACTATGAATCCTGTGGTACTTTAAAATTTTGTCCCGGATGAGAGTATTATATATATTTAAAGTTCACTTTAAAGTGAGAATTAGCTATGTCCTCTTTAGTACATGATAGACCTTTCACTGTAGGCATGCAATAAAAGTGGCAGTTTTCTTAAAACAGCCTTTTGGTTAACTGGGTGATGCTCTTTTCAGTTTCTCTGCCTGTAGATGCACCAATTTCATCTACCACACCCAATTTTACAATGTGTTTCAGACAATGTCTTTTCCTCTTCTGAAAAAGTGTCCAAGGTCTCTGCTGGGTCTAAACTCTGTGCTTCTGTGGTTACGAAGCCCTTCTGTCTCAGATGTCTTCTGACAGTTATTCCTGATAGAGCTATTTCCAATATTGAAAGGAATTTTTGTTTTGATCAAGCACCTCCATTTGGGCATGAAATTTTATGATCCTTTACTTAAAAGACAATAGAAGCTAAGAAATGAAATCAAATTCAATGTAGGGATGAAAAGAAAAACAGACCAAAAGTGAAGTGCCAAACGACATAACCACCCACCCTCCAAGGCAGACATTGCTGAAATGTTTCAGCGCTGTGAAAACACTAGAATACTCTCAATTGTGTAAAGACTCCATATATTTTAAGGACACTCAAAAGACACAATACCTCCATCTAGAAACACTGACCTAAAGATGTTATGTTACATCCTTAAACAGGCCTAGCATTTATGTGCATCAAACTTTTATTAACTATTATACTAAAACTGAGCCACATTCTTATCAGATGACCTTCTCTTTTTTAACTGAAATTATAGTCAGATGTGACTCCTCTCATTTTCTTGTATATCATTCATGGTCTTTCCCCACATCATACACCTCTTCTGCCTCTTAATTTGTTCCTTTTAATGAATTTCTGACTTTTGGTCTACACTGGCTATGTCCTCTCTGCTTTGAAACCTAGACAGGACTTCCTAACTACCCACCTAGGTCTCTCCTTTTCTCTGACAGGTTCTAGAACAAGCTCAGCACCTACCTTCTTACTACATACCTTCCCCCACAACCTTCTACAGTTTGGCTACTAAACACACATTCTACAAGACCATCAATCATCTTGATTTTTGGTATTCTTCACTTCTCAGCCAGAAGGAAAGCCCTCTGAGAAGGTGACCTTTAAGCTAAGACCAAAAGGTGGCAGGAATGTGGTAAGTGTGCTAGTGGTAGCGGATGGGTAGGGATATTCCAGAAGGAATGTCACGGGGAGGGGAGGAAGCAAAATGAAACAAGAAACCGTGGAGTAAGAGAACTAGCTGATTTGACACACCAGTGTGCCAGGAACCCAGAAGACAAAGGTGACAGCGGTCAGCAACGGGGACTGAAGGTTCCAACTGAAGCACAACCCACCCACATTACAAACACACACGTACATGCCCAGGACACACAAGTGCCCTAGCACTGAGCTGCACCCCAGCCCTCCACGTGATACTTTGAAAAGTCATTCCGGCTATAGCTTGAGATGAATTAGACCAAACAAAAATAAAAAGGATGG